ATTCAGACTTGTGTCTCATTAGGTACACGTAACCATACCGCGAATAATCATCGGTGAAGGTGATGAAGTATGCGTGTTGGTTACGACTCCTAACATTCAGGGGCCCGCATACATCACTATGTATAAGGTCAAGCGTGCCCGTATATCTTTCAGGCTTGCCGCCAAATGGCCGTTTTGTCATCTTACCACGAAGGCAAGGCTCACAGGTGGGAAGATCTTCTACGGTTAGAAAATCCAAAGGACCATCCTTTACCAACCTTGTGATTCGATCAATACCGATATGGCCAAGATGGTAATGCCACAGGCACGTGGGACTAACTGTATCACGAGTTCTCTTCGGAACGCCAATCGACGTAGTTTCGGCTATGTTGGATTCTAGAGAAGGATGCAGAACATAGAGACCGTTCTCCAGTTCCCCGCATGCGATGAATTTGTTGTTTCTTTTAATAGTAATCGTATTACTAAAGAAAACAGAATATCCATCAGCACACAATTTTGAGACAAAAATCAAATTTCTTCTTAAATTCTGTACATAAAGACAATCTTTAAGTAGAAGTGATCATTCTCTAAAAAACAATTCTACGCTACCGATGGCCATAGCTGCAACGCTTGCAGAAGTTCCCAAGAAGAGCGTCACCTCTCCCTCACTCAGTCTTCTGCTTATTCTGAAACCCTGCAATGTGTTACATGCATGAGGCGAAGCCCCGGAGTCAATACACCAGGAAGCAGAAGTAACTAACAAATTGGTTTCTATGACACAGGATTCGGGATTACCTTTCTTGGATTCTAGGTAGGCAGGACAATTCCTTCTCCAATGGCCGGTCTAGTGACAATGGTGACAGGCATCGGATGCTTTGTCCTTCTTCTGTTTCTTGGATTTGTTGCCCTTTTTCTGGGGCCTCTTCTTAGACCTCCTCTTCTTGCCACACTTGCCTGCTTCCATAAGCATGGCGACGGGCTCATCCTTACGAATTAGTTCCTCAGCTCGTTGCAACATATTGCTGAGCTCTTGTAAGCTGACGTTCAACTTATTCATTTTATAAATCATGACAAACTGATTATAGGACGGAGGTAAAGAATTCAGAATGGCGTCTACCTTAGTGACGTGGTCTAGCCCGGGCCCTAGGGCTTCCAGCTTGTTTATGTATCCCATCATCCGAAGACAATGGTCATTTGAGCGGTCATGAACTGCTTCAAGACGTTCTGCCGAGTATAACGATTATGCTCTTCGTACATAGTTTTCAGACTGTCCAATATGTCCTTGGCCAGTTTGATCTGATCGAACTGCCTCTGTATTGGATTGTCCAGAGAAGCTATGATATAGCAACAAGCCAGGGAGTTCTTTTCCTCCCACTCTAGGTAGTCCCTTCTGCGGGCCTCAGAAGCCCGATCACCTGGATGCTCCGGGGTGGGGTTTTTGGCAACTTTATCCAATTTTTCAGAAGTCAGTACTATCATGAGGTTACGATACCAGTTAGTGTAATTAGGGCCCTTAAGTTTGTTGTCATCAAGAAGCTTGGCGAATTGTTCGTTAGCCATTTTCTGGTAAAACAACAAACATTAGTCCACAACATAATTTGATTCATGTTCATTACATAGATATGGCTTTTATTCCTAATGTTCCATTCCCATTTCTTCATCTCTGAGATTTTCCTCCCATCTCAGTGACAGAGACAACGACTTGTCTCTGGAAATGTGGGAAACCACATAGGGTGCATGGAGCCAACTGTTTCAGTTGCAAAACCCCACCACCTTTCTGTGAAGGATCATATCCACTCATCATATGAGTTTTCCCTTTGGCCTCTGTYAGGCAAGGTTCAGAGCCGTTTTCAGGTAAACCTTTCTGTCCAGTTAGTGCTCACCCATCATATTCGTGAATGCCAAGGTACCGTGAGAGAGTTCCCATTTTCTGGTGAAGCCCCTCCCACATCGGTCTATGATGCCCCTATCATCTTATGAAGCACTCGGACAAGCCCAACAACAAATGAATAGCCCATTTTCTGGTGTGTTTCCTCGTTACTGAAGGACCCATCCTCATTACTGAAGGACCCATCCTCATTACTGAAGGACCCATCTTCATTACAGAAGGAGGATCTCTTGCTTAAGGAGGAAATAAGCTGGAGACAGAAATTCAGGTGTACATGGTTAAAGGAGGGAGATAGAAACACTAGGTTTTTCCATTCTGTGGCAAATGATAGCGGAATAAAGAATTTCATCTCAAAATTGTAAGTTGAAGGAGCAGTTGTATCCCACTTAGTAGAAATAGTAGAGGCCTTTGTAAATCATTTTAAATCTATTTTTAGAAGGCCTTTAAATGAGAGGGTTTGGTTGGAGGGTTTGAAATGGCCAACTCTAAGTGTAGAGAATAGAGAGTGGTTAGAGAAGAATTTTGATATGGAGATAAAGGAAGTAGTGTTCTCAATGGATAAGACAAAAGCTCCAGGCCTAGATGGTTTCACAATGGCCTCTAATCAGGATTGTTGGGATATTGTGGAGGGAAACAATTAATCCGGGTCTGAACTCAACATTCATTGCTTTGGTCCCAAAGAAGAAAGAGGCATCACAACCAATGGATTTTAGAAGGCCTACCATTTTCCATAGAATGAAAAAACCTAGTGTTTTTGTCTCCCTCCTTTAACCATTTACACCTGGATTTCTGTCTCTAGCTTATTTCCTCCTTGAGCAAGAGATCCTCTATCTTCCTCCTCAAACTCCATCTAATCCCCCTGTCTTCCTCTCCAAAAGATCCACTTTCTTCCTTCAGATCCAATTCCTCTATCTGCTTCATCAAGATATGCTTTCTTTCCTCCAATCTTCCAAACTCCATACGATTCCACTCCTTTATCTCCTCTTTCTTAGTTCCTTCAAAATCTACTTTGGTTTTGGGTGGAACCTGAGCCTAAGAAGGGCAATTAGGGATACAGTATTGGGCTGTATTTTGTCTTTGTTAGCCATCCTTGAAAATGTTTTCTTGGACCCAAATAAGGAAGACACCAGATTTTGGACCCCTTCATCTTTAGGTTCTTTCTCTTGTGCCTCGTTTTTTGACACCTTAATTCAGCCTCATGTTCCTCTTGGGTTGTCCTTCCTTGTTAAAGTGATTTGGAGCATGCCCATTCCTCCTCAGGTTGGTAGTTTTTGTTGGGAAGCTTTCTTGAAAAGAATTAACACAAATGACTTGCTTCAGAAAAGGAGACCTAGTTCTTGTTTACTTCCCAATAGGTGTACTCTCTGCAGAGTTGATGGGGAAACTGGTTACCCCCTTATGGTTACTTGTCGTTGCTAAAACTGTTAGGAGTGGGCTTTCTCCCTTTTTGGGTGTATTTGGAATCCCTCGTGAGTGTGCAAAGTTTGTTCTCTCCTTTGTTCTTCAAATGACCTAAGAAAAGAGGGAAGATTATGTGGAAAAGCATTAGGGCAGTAGTGTGTTGGTCCTTATGGAAAGAGAGATACTTGTGAATATTTTAAGACAAGGAAAGAACCATGGAAAACTTATTAGAACTGATACACTCACTTTAAGGGTAGCCCACTGGCTGAAATCTATGGAGCTGTTCTCAGATTGTTCCGTGGCTGACTTATTGAGAGGACTCCTAGGCCCTCTTGGTCCCCTCCTCCCTCTGGATTCATAAAACTGAATTTTGATGGTAGTAGCTTAGGGAGTCCAGGGCCTTCTGGGATTGGGAGAGTATTCAGGAATGAGGATGGGATTATTACTGCCATCTTCTTAGGCCCAATCGGAGAGGGTGGCTCTCTTAGGGCTGAGATTCTTGCAGTTCTGGAAGGAATCCAATGAGTAAGAGAATTAAACATCAGACATTTGGTCCTTGAAGGTGACTTGGAGGTGGTGATTAGTTGGCTGAAGGGAGAGAACAGTGGTTTGTGGAGCTACAGCAATGTAAGGAAAAAATTCAAATGGCTGAGTAGGGATATTGAGGTCAAGTACAGCTGGGTGAAGAGAAATGCTAACTCATTTGCCGATGTGTTAGCCAAGCAAGGGGTGATTAGGGAATCTTTGTTTTGGGGAGTTAAGACATTTTACCTCCCCTTTTGTAATTAAAGTTTCACAAAACTTCATTAATAAAGCTTATTGTTATTGATAAAAAAAGCATGGATATAACTTTTATGGATGAGAAATAGATGCAATTAGGTTTGCATCCTTATTGTTGAAAGTGTAATAAGGAAGCAAACAGTTTTTGGTGTATTTGGCTAGCAAGAAACCAAAAAATATTCCATGGCTGAGCTACCCATTATAGATGGATTGGTGAGAGAAGTGTTATACACTATTAGCTTGTATACGGTGATTCCAGAGTACAGGGACTCGGAGACTATTTTTGTGGATGATGTTTTGAGCTTTCTTTCAGGTGTTAAGTGAGTGGAGGTTTCACTTCGAACATCATATGTACTTGATGATAGAATGAAAGAAAAGATAATGTAAAATCTAGAGCAGAATATGTAATGTACAGTCTATATCAGCATGGAAACCATTTTTGCACATTATGCCGTCACATACTAGTAGTCTTTTAGGCACCTCTTTAAGATGTTCATTTTGGATGCACTAGGTTTAACCGTCGTGGGTCAAGCTGTTGTCTTTAAAAGTACACAAAGTAGCAAATTCAAAATGTTTTATCGGCGTTTCAAGAAGTAAAGGTCTTCTCTCAATTCCCTAATAACTAGTTTCTTTGGAATGTGCAGAGAAATCGACAAAGAAGAGACGACGTGTTATTGGGCCAATATGGTGGTTATGGGGAGGAAAGCGGTTAATGTATAATATCTTGTATGGGCAACTTCGTATAAAAGCAAAAGTTCGTCCCAGAAGATCCTGCTGCTGATCCAACTTGTCGTTCATTCCACTTTTTGGTAATTATATTCTTGTGCATTTCCTGGAACTGCGGTTGGTCTCATGACCATTTCATCTTTGTATAAAATGAAATTTACGATAATGAAGCTTTTTTTTTTTTGGCGGCATTGGCTTTACCAAGTTTTCTCTAGTTTAAACTTATTGTATCTGTTAAAAGGTTAAAGGAGCCACATCCAATTTTCATGCAGTCTTCGCATATTGGATTCCAGATGGAGTTTTCACTTTTCAGTGGTGATGCCCCATGTCTCCTCCTTGTACATTTACTGTTAGCACTTCCTCTGTGGCAGCCGGGTGTCGTGTCACATTATTAAGAACCGCATCGATCTACGCTGTTGGAAACAAATCATGCAAAAACTAAAGATGGTTTTTTTGCCGTTAATGATTATCGTCACTCTTTTTGGTGAATTGTAGTGATTGGTTTGGATGCATGCAACACTCTTTTTGGTGATTTGCCGTTAATGATTAGTGTCACTCCTCACTCCTCACTCCTCACTCCTCACTCCTCACTCCTCGGAGGTCAGAATCAAAAGGAACCCAACAATATCTCAGCGGGCATCCGAACATGCTGTTGTCTATGGTACTTGGTACCATTATGTTTTTCGGTTTTTGTTCATATTGTATTCGTATAGCATCCAAAATAAAAAAAAAGAAAAGAAAAAAGGAACGAAACGTCGTACCACACAGTGGAGTTTAAAGAATTGAATTCAAGTAAAATTTGTAGGTAAGGCTCAGTTTGGAATAATGCAAAATATAATGCTTGCCACTCTACATTTGTATTTGTACTCTTTCCAAACTAAGCCTAAATAAGGGTTGTCTTGTGTCACTAGACTCCCTACTAAACCCAAGGTAAAAGGCTCATGTCTTTTGGACAAGCCCGAACGCTTTGGTCATTTTCTAGTGTGAACATAATCAACGATGATGATGAAGCTTATGTTCGGTATCACGTTCGAGATCCTTGGCTGCTCTTATCTTTATCTTTTGCTTTTCCCTGTTTTTGGGGCTTGTGCTGTTACGGTTATCCAATATGATCTGTATCCGCATATCGTATAGTCAGATGTGCTTTGGGGCAGTTTATGTTGGGAGGAGATTCCAAAATCCGATTTTTCTGTGAGGATGATTATGAACACTAATTGAACATACTGTTGTCAATTTCATCAATATATAATTTTTTCTTCTTTCTTTTTTATTTGGCCACACTATGCAGTTTACAACATGAAATCCCCCAAACCCATAACCTCTCGTGCCCATGTGAGATGTGAGTAGGGGTGGTTAATTGAACCGTGGGCCTATTTTCCAAATCGAATCAATACACTGGATGATCGGTTTGGTTGGTTGCTTTTTTGATTTTTTAATATTTATAATATGTATTATAAATATATAATAAAAATACTAGAAATACATATAATATATTATACTAAAAATAATAAATAATATATTATGTATTGTAATTAAATATATATGTATATATTTATTTATAATATATAGGTAATAATATATAACGTATATTATATACCAGGCCGTTTGATTAACTGTCAATTTTTTATATCGATTAATCAAAACTGAATTGGTACCTACAGTTTTCCAAAAATACCGAACCCAAACCAGTTCTGTTAACCAAACTTTTCAGTTTAGTTTTGTTGGTTTGGTTTGATTTTTGATGATCACCAATTCACCACTACTAGTGACAGTGGAACTTCATCTATATGCTATAATCAGCCATGGACCTTAACAACCGAACCGTGAATTTCATTCATGGTTCATTGGTTTTATAGTGTATATACTATTATTACCACAAAAAAAAGAAAAAAAGAAAAAAAAAGCACTAATAGAATATGCTGAAATCAGCCATGGACCTTAACGACTGAGCTGTGAATTTCATTCACGGTTCGGTATATACAATTATTACCAGAGTAGAAAAAGCACTAATAGAATTTTACTTCTGCAATTCTTAAATTTGCGTTTTGTTCGGGGAATGTTTAAAAAAGCTATTATGTGGTCATTATTTCATGTAGGGTAAGAAAATCTCCTTGCTTCTTAAAATGCTACTGGCCTTCAATTCTTCTTCTGATTGGGGCTTATAAGATATTTTGAAGAAATGATTTGTGATAGATGTAGACTTATATAGACTCAACAGGTGAAACAATGGCAATTCTTTTTTCTGTTTTTTAATCTTTATCAGATCAGTGAGAAACTGTGGCAACTTTTGATAGGTTTAATTAGATTTGTTAAGACGTACTATATTTTGTTTCACCAAATGCAACGACCCTTGTCTCTTGCCGTCCAGAAAGGTCACTACAGATTGAACTATTGGGACCATTTTTCCTTGGGGAAGATGTCTGGTATACAACTTCTCTTGGGTGTCTACCCAAAAAAAGAAGGAAAAAAAAAAGAACTTCTACCTGGGTGAAAATTTGAAATCAATCAAATGAAGGGCCCTGCTTTTCCGGGAGGAGACAATAGCAGCTATAATTGAGGTGCCTATGGACGGCGATGTATCCTCCTCAACCACGAAACAGTAACAGTTTTCTTTCTCTGGTGTCTGGTCTTCCACTTTCAAACTCCAGAAATCAATCAAACACGTAGAACGTTCACTTATATATACCATCAATTGATATATAAAACTTGAATAAATTGTGCGTCTGAGTTCGGCTTCAACTGGGTTGTTTCTAATTCAAGGATTGCAGCAGTACCGAAAGCATTTGGTAGAGTTGTGCAATGAGTCATTAGTGGTTACACAACCAGATTTGGCATGGGCAAATCTTTGATTCCTAGTTCAGTTTTGCGGTCTTTGATTCCTGATCTGTAGTTAAGAAAGTCTTATTTCATTTGTTTTAATGGAGATCGATCCTATGATGGTTGTTCTGTCCTGCTCCTGCATAATTCTCATGGAATCATGCTTCACTAACCAAACGACCCACACAGTGCTCCATGTTTAAATCTGAATATCTGATTAGTTAAAATCATAAAGGCTCAAACCAGCTTGAAGATAGCTAGATGATGTCAAAATCCCCCTTCCCCTACAAATTTACAAGATTTAGTAAAGGAAGTGACAAACATTATGAGTCCAGGAGCTCTACGTAATGAATTAGATTCATTTGGAAAGTAGAGATATCCAGTGAACAGGACTGCATAATTCAATGTGGGGGGAGAGAGAGAGAGAGAGAGAGAGAACAGTTCTACTGGTGCTTCCTGATGGAAGAGCTGAGCAGTGAGCACTCCCAGCCCTTGCTCCATGGTCTTCACCATCATTCCTTAATCAAGTGAAGCTCATATTGGATAGGAGATTCCTCTCATCAGATGTGGGGGAGCCAAACAGTGGTAGATTCACAGGTTGGATGCAGCAAGGAGCTGCTATTGGTGCAGTGTGGGCGGCGCCACCGGATACGCCATTGGGACCATGTAGGGGGGATGGTGCCCGGGAGGAAGCATAACTGGAGTCCCAACAGCTGAAACCATATGGGGCGGTGCGGCAACCGGCTGGCCTATTGGAGGTCCATACATACCTACACCCGGCATGTTGGGTTGAGGGGGCCGATGCTTGGCGGACGCCGGCGCTGCGGCTGCGGCGGCAGTGTTATGCGGTTGTTGTCCAGTAATGGGAGCTTGGGGTGATGAGACATCTCCACTGTTAACGCTGGTAATGTCGTGGATGCTGGATCTCCTCCTATCTCTGTTCATAGAATTCAAGCGAATGAAATACTTCTGAGCATGGCTTGCCACCTGAGTAGGCGTCCTGGAGATGACGAAGTTCCTTGATATGCTTCTCCAATCTCCTTTCCCGAATTTGTCGAGACCAAGCAGGAATAACCTGGATGATAAACATGAAGCAGCAGTACCCAATTAGAGATATCCATGATTAATCTGAAACAATTAAGCTTTTTTGTTACTGGTCTACGAAATTAAAAGATACCTGTGCTCTTCTTCTGTCCATGGAATTCCTTTTCGTCGCTCCTGGTCTGATCTAGACCCGGCTTTCCCACCTTGCCCCCCGCCTGAATCAGTGCCCAACCCAGAAAACCCAGTTCCAAAATTACAGTTCAACCTCTTATCAGCAGCCCCAGAAGCAGAAGCAAGAAAGAGGTGCTGATCTTTGCTGTTGGCAGCCGCCTCCTTGACGTAAGTGGGAATCGGGATTCGACCCGATTCAATTGCATCTACATCCTCGACCAAAACCTCGTAGTGTTTCTTCAGTTCGGCTACAGTCTTACTTGGAACCATGGAAGCAATCTTTTCCCATCGGTCTTTTGAGTCGTCAGAAGCCCAGTGCATCGCAATTGCAGTCTCGAACGCCTTCTCCTCCTCTCTGCTCCAACCTCCTACACTAGCCATGTTCGTTCGTCTAGAACTGTTCCAATCAAGCTCAGTCTATACCAAACAACGACGATGACAGATTAATTACAAGAATCCGGTTTCTTTCGCTAGCATTGCTATTTGGCAATTTTGGGACTCAGGGAGGGAAGAATGAAGGAAGGTGCGGAGGATAGGGAGATGGGTATCAATGGAGGTAAAGTTTTTATGGACCACTTGGAAATTGAATGGATGGATCAGTTGTCATGTTCAGACAATACATATACTCTCTCTCTCTCGTGACTCTTTCTTCACTTACATAGACATAGTAATCATGGAGTGTGTAAAGGGGTGACTGGTGAGGAGAAGACGAGAGCAAGAGAATCTTTCCAACAATCCAACTACCGCCCATCGCTTGTAATCACAGCCATGAGCCAATCAGCCAAACCTTTTATAAATTTGTGAATGTTTAGGTCTCTCTCTCTCAGACATACTTTTCACACGCATATGATACGGACGTGGCCATTTCTCCATTACTCGTTAAGGCTAAAATGCAGCCTGAATGAACCCGGCTTTTTGGCTTTTCCTTCTGCTTTTTTTTTTTAAACCCTGTTCACACTGCAGGAGGCCATGGCCCCCATTATTGTCTGCATCTCTCTCCACAGTAATTAAACACAGAAAGTGATGTCATGACCCTTAAGCCATTGCATTCTAAACGCTTTGATCATTGATGATGCCAAATTGCCAAGTAGTGCTTCAGTTAGTAGCCAAACTTGGCTCCTCCTCTCACAGTCACAAATCAGAGATGGGTTAATATCATAATAATGAACTCAGATCATGGTTGTTGTTGCAACTCTATATAATCATCAGATGAACTGATCTTTTAAGGGAACATTTTGGGTTGACTGAAAGATGCTGATTCCTAGAGTATGCACAACATATTGTCCGTCTCTTCACTTGATCTGGAAATATTTTACCACTGTAGTTCTGTTAGTTTACCAATCTTTCACAGCTTGGCCTTATAAAGAAAACCCTAACATGTTTGGCAAATGGATTCTTCTACTCCCTTACAAAGTACTTATTTTGTGGGTCTCTCTCTCTGACAAAGACAACGGATACACACACACATACCAAGAAATAATAATCAAAATTTTCATCTAGCAGTTGCATCAAGGAACCCAAATGTGGGAGTATCCCTACATACTTTGTGGCCAGTAGGAAGCCACGTAGACTGAAACAATTTCACCTAACTGGGAGGGTGATTTCAACTACAAAATTATTACATTATTGTTTTGTTTTCTTTCAATTTGTTTTCCTATTTACATCTCTCGACTCTACCTACAAAATAAAAATTTGATTTCAGAGTCTACTTTCTGTTGATTCTGTAAGGTTTGGAGTTTGTGTTCAACTTTTCCTCCCTTGAAATGGATGATACAACTGGATATAAAGATTGAAGTTAGCCCATATATTTAACTATGTAATTTTCTTTCTTGGAATTGAAGAATTCCTTAAAACCTAGCTAGCTTAAAATGGCTATTGATTTACTTTGAAACATGGGCATTTATTTTTTTTATAAACTATCAGATATCAAAAGATTATGATGCAATGATTTTAAGCTAACGGTGTCTATTTCTTATAGGCAATGCTCCGAATCCAATTACCAACATTAGAAAGTAGAAGAAAGGCCTAAAATACACAATTTATCCAGTTTTCTAAAATGATTTTGAAATTAAATTAAGATTTTATTATTATTGTAAATAAAAATAGGATTGCATTTAAACTTCGCAGGAAGGAATGAAACTTCCCACATTTTTCTTTGTAAAAGTCCCCTAAATCATCAGGCATGTTTGGTATCGAAGCCTAGAACAATTTTACCTAGAAAATGGGGAGAAAAGTTGAATCCAATGGTTAGACTTAGGGTTGAAATTTATGAACTCAACTTTGTTTCGGGTTGGGTTAGGGTTGACCCCTTGGACAATCCAAACCAACCTGAACCCAATTCTATAGTATATGTCATATATAAATATATGTTATATATATTATATATCATACATTGATTTGCTTGGATGTATGATAGTTGTATAGCCCTCACTACATACTATCATGTCTTTCTTTTAAGATAATCCCTTCATCTCCTCTTTGAAACCTTAATAACATATTTTATGTTTTTTGAATATTTTATTCTTCATCTCCTTTCTAATGTTTGTTGGGCATAAAAGAGCTATAATAAGTCATCTCATAATAAAATATAGTCATTTCAAACACTTATTTTTTAGAAAATTGTACTAAAAAATCAATAAAAACATCAACAAACAAATACTAATAAAACATAGGATTAATATATATATATATATATATATATTTATTTATATATAGTGAAAATTGAGTTAAGATTTGAGATTAAATAGTTTTGTGAGATTCTAAGGGATGGGAAGAAAATATTATATTAGGACCAATCCGAAATTGACTTTGGGTTGAAGGAATTTAGTTAGGGTTGGGGGTTTAGAACCTAAGGTTGAATTAGGTTTGGCCTCAACCCGCCCTAACCCAGCCCAACTTACACCCCTAATTCCAATACCAAACACCATACTATTTGATTAAGTAAATTTCGGAAACTAAATAGACAAAAATGTTACTTTAACATATATGAAACTTCAACTTCATGGATAGAGAGATGTAATTACACGAGTCCCTACTATCATAAATGGACATCCTTCAGTTTTGCTTAGCATTTTCCATGCTTTAGAATATCATCATTCATCAAAACTGATTCTTCAACTTGCGCGCCCTAGTCAACAGGTAAAGGAAAGCCTTATCTATTGCCATTTTCTAAATGGCATAGAAGAGTTCAAAGGTGTTATTTATTGACATTGGATTTGAACCACTTTACGCCCACAATCCACTCTCACTCACTGATTCCATTCCAACACTAATCCAATTTGAGGAGGATGAATATGGTCCAGTTTGTTGAATTCACTGTCCAAACTGATCATGGGGATTTGGGAAAGAATAAGGATTTGGCCAAATTCAGAAACTCCGCTAGAAAATATTGAAATGTTAGAGATTCACTTGAACCATTTTCCCCCATTTCTTCAGGTTTCTTTTCCTTTATTCATTAATGTAGGCCACAGAATGCGCGTGTCTCTTACTCCCTTGGCTGGAGGTAACCTTCACATGAATATACTGAATCAAGTAATACTATAAGCCAAATAGTCATAGAGATTAGAGACAGACCCTTGATCTCATGTTCTCGTTTCTAGATAAAGTTGGCCAGGGCCCACCAAATGGGCCCGCCAAGGAGACTTCCGATGCCCAATTTTAGCTAATGTTGATGTAATGTCCTGACCATTGATCTTCTTCTCACGTACGTGGGACCATTAAAGCCGTTCCTGATCCACTGCACGCCAGTCAACACCTTCATGGATCAAGCGCCAATATAGACCAAATTTAGCTATATGTGAGCTTCTTCTGCTTCAAGTGCTTTGGCACCACACGGCTTACCTTGGTGGGCCCTTACTGAATGCTTGGCCCATGCCTCGGTGAACCCAGATGCCAGACCCACCTGTTGGTCACTCCTACCAGTCAGACTCTTGCGTTTTCAGTGAAGGAATTTAGACCCAGTTTTCTCTCATGGGGTCAATGGGCCTGTTTACATAGCCCATGGCTGAAAATGATCAAAATTGAACCATAGATGGGACCCAACATCCTGGAGCCTGGAGGTTGTTACTAAAACAAGTCTGCCATTGCAAGAGGACTTGGATGGTAGGAAGGTGACAGGCCACTTGGATGGTTGCTTGCAGCCCACTTGATTGCAAATTTGACATTCAATGATTAAGCTTCCTATGTTTTGATTATTTTCATGGCCAATCCATTCAGCCTTTCTTTTCTTTTTCTTTTTTCTTAACAAGAAAGAACAACTCTTATAGATTCAAAATTTTTAGAAAAAAGATTAGTACCAAAGAAAGCTTCACCATGTGATTCCTTAAATAACTCTATTTCTAAAATTCTTCTTTTCTTTGCAAATTGTTCTAATGTGAATTTTTAGGTATAGATGTTGAACTTTGAGATCCAAAGGCGTGAAGGAAGGGGAGTCTGCCAACATTATGAATGAGATAAATTCCAAAAAGAAATGGAGGGCTTCAGATATGACCAACTCCAAAACATTGTCATGGAATTTGGATGAATCCTTAAACAAACAGGAGAGACAGATACATATGCACAAAGAACAAGTGGGCGGTGACTAAAGAAGTTGAGCAAAACATAGGATTATAATAGTGATTTCAGACCACTAAGGAGGAGGAAAAGAACAAACACCCCTCTCCTAAAAAAAGGAAATTAAAAAAAAAAAAAGAAGAGTGGGTGCAAAATAAAATTGGGGTTTGCTTAATTGGCTGGTTTTCACCAACAGATGATTTTGACACCATCAGCTAAGATGATGGAAAGGACATGGGAATATGACACTATGGGATGTATTTTAGTTGAACATGGATTTGTCTTTCTGTTGGGAATTCAACTTCTCCTAGATATTATGGGTAGAATACTAGTCTTATCTGATAAAGAGGAATTTAGAACCAATAACCAAGCAACATGAGGATCTAATTCAATAAATGCTAATGGGTGTGTCCTGTTCAAACATTAAGACTAATAGCAGTAGTGATAGTTGGGTAATAACCATTTCCATGTGGTCTGTTCCAAAAAATAATCTCTCTCTCTCAAGAATTACAACCTATGTTTAAGAGGGAAGAAAACAGCAAAGAAGGAATGTTTATATGAGGACACAAACTTCCTAGCTTCCACAGCTTCAAGTGGTCTAGCCCAGTCATGAAAGTCTGATATCAGCCCACCACTGTTGAAGGAGACTCCAAATTAATGATTGATTGCATAAAACCGCAAGGCTGATGTCCCATAGAGGTTCAGATGTACCTATTATAAAACATATATTGCACATCAGTCCATGTTCTTCTTTGAGCAGACAGTTCATCTGATTGCCTATTTTGGCAAGCCAAATTGATGGTACAATTAATGGGTTATGGGGTGACCCTCTTCAATTCTTTCCAAACCCCTCAAGTAAGTTGAGATTGTTGAATTCAGTGAGGGGGCTACTTCCCATTTCTGTGACTGTGTCCTTCCTTCCAGTCCAGTTGTACCCATAAACAAAGAAAAAAAAAATGAGGAAGATGGACACTTGGGCTTACATTTGATGATTCCTTTATGGCTCGTACAGACAGACATTTTTATCTGAACGAAGAACTGATATTTTAAGTATTAATGGTTGTTTTCAAAAGAACAGTAGTGAATATTTAATGGGGTTTTGTTGAATCAGACAAATGGTTTCATGCCATGTAGTGCCGTTTCATTGTATGTGACCTTGATGTTTGTTGGTTGAAGAGCCTCTCATCATTTTAATTTAATACAGTGGCGCCTAACATGGCCAATTTTTAGATAAACTCCACAACCACCGCATGCATGTAGAGAAAAAGAGAGCAAATGGTTCAAGTACACCAAGTGGGCTCTCCCCTGGAAAAAAAAAAAAGAAAATTGAAAATGACCTTCAATGGGAATCGTTTCGTTTTGGTTTTGGCTAATTAACATTTGAACCTGTCAATCATCATCTGAAACTGATGACCCATCATCCTAATATTGTCAAAACCATAAATAGTTTTTCTTGAAACCCTAAAATGACTTTGCTTCTATTTAAGACAAATCTTATATGAAACACTTTCTTTCCTTTGTGACTTCTGAAAACACTGGTAAGATGAGAGATGATATATATATATTATCATTGTCATTGTTATCAAGTGTAGAAGACACAGACCGTTCAGTTTTGTAAATACATGACTACTGCCCATATAAAACAAACGTTTCCTTTTAATACATTATTATAAATCAAATTTAGGGAATGCTAAAAGCATGAATCAGTTATGGGGTAATTAAGGAGGCATCCCTCTTAACCAAAGTTTAACGTATCAATACTCTCTATACACAAAATTGCTTTTAACATTTAAAACAATGGATATGTCACTCACCTAACTCTCATTATTTAGAGTCTCCATAATCCTGAAAACCTATCTATACGCTAGAATACATATGATAAGATATTTTTGAGCCTTGATTTCATCTAAATATCTACTTTTATAATGATCATAAAAATTAAATAACCTAATCTGCATTACATTATACATATAAACTAGAGGTCTTAATATAAAGCTGTAGTTGACTGCTTAACTACTTCCAAACTCCAATTTTCTTCTTGTTGTGATATTATTTGGTTTTATTAAATTTATTTATTTGTTTCGTTTCTCTTTTTTGGTGGGTAGTCACCAGGAAATTAAATTCCATATCACTTGATCCAGTTGTGAGGGTCCTGGGCAGCTCAGAAGTTGAGATCAAAGCAACCCATCCCAAGCATGCATGCTAGCTTAAATATTGTTCTTATAATACCAATTCCTCTTTTATATTTTACTTTTATTATTCTTCATTTTTTTTTGAGGGGTATTATCCAATCTAATACAACCATAGATCCAATCCGGCCGGATCTTACAAAAATTGATTCGAATTGAGCCCGCTAAGGATGTTGGATATCTAAATATGATTCGATCCGATTTAGTTTTTAAAAATTTTAATAAATTACTAAAAGAAAAAGAAAATCTAACAGTTTATATTAAGAAAAACAAAAAAAATATTAATGTTTTTTAACTATTCTCATCATATATATATACATGTTTTTTGTTAAAAATAAACAATATAAAAAATGATATAAACATATTTATAAATAAATAACATATGCATGTATGTATGTATGTATGTATGTATGTATGTATGTATGTATGTATACCGGATCGAATATGGAGTGATTTAGGTTCTGATTCAATTTTTAATCGAATCCTATTACCCGATCCAATCTGAAAATCTGAAAGGGATACACCTGAATTCGATAAAATAGGATCAAATTTCGGATTGGATTAAATTATGATCGGAACCATCTCCACCCCTGCCAACAGTGTTGCATTTAAATATAATTGATATTTAAAAACATTTTAGCTGAATTTCTTTATGTGTTTTTTTTCAATTTGATATCTTAAACAATAAGATTAATTGCATTAGCATATATTATTAAATTTCCAGGACCCACCATTTGCATTGCAAGAGTTAAGATATTTTTCATGAAAAAAAAAAATCTTCAATAAAAATTAGGAATGTTTTTCTTTTGTTGTTTTACAACAAAAGCAACTGTCTCATCATAAAACTTATATGTATTTGGTGATGTAACAATTGCTTCTATTTAAAAGAAAAAAGCAAAATCGCACACGTTGACAAATACCCCTAAAACTTTCAGTTGAATTGTATTTCTTAATATAAAATATGATTATTTTTTATTCTAAATTTAACCCTTAGAGTTCATTAATTCAATCCAACCCAAATCAACAGGGTAACATTTCATATTGGGATTAAAATGTGGTGGTAAATCTGGCTCCTCGAAGTACTAAAAACATAATGGTTGCTAGGTCCCATTATCTACATGTCGAATTTGAAAAACCTCCTCCACTTATAACCTTTAGGCATTTTTTCCCCTCTCCAACTAAATGGACCAAGCTTGCTTTCTGTAATCATTTATGTAAAAGGCCAAAAGCTGCTCTCAGACTTTGAACCCACATTCTCACATTAATTGATTTTACAGAGGTCCCAGCACCACGAGGGAGGTTGTTCCATACATTCAATATATGACCAACCTAGAGGTCCCATATCTGCTCAATGCTTTGTATTGCCCACAGTAAGCATCAAAACACCTCGTTCATAGATATACAAGTTACCCACTTAGACAACTTTTTACAGTTAACCATCTTTCCCATGACTCTGGTCGCATGCATTCATAAAATACATATAAAACCGAAATAAAATATTTATCTTCATAAAATGGAATCAAAGTGAAATGTGAATATACCTAGGAGTGAGCATTATTCGGTTAATACTAAATTATCGAACTGAAAATTTCGGTTTCAGTTTTTTTTGGTTTAGCTTTTTTAGTTTTTGGGTAATTCGGTTTGGTTAATTCATTTTTTAATAATTTCAGTTTTTGGTTTTGGTTTTCAGATTTAGAAATTCGGTTAACCAAAAAGTCAAATTAGCTAAAATTTATTATATAATATATAATCTGCTATATATTTATATATTAATATATTATAATGAAATTAAATTTCATAATATATATTATAGGTTATAATATTAAATTTCATAATTTGGTTATTTTGGTTTTATTGAAAAATAGTTTCGGTTTCGATTTTCATTTTATTATTTCAGTTTATTCAATTTGATTTTTAACCGAATAAACCGAATGCTCAACCCTAAATATACCAGTGTTTGAAACCAAATACCAATTGATGTGATATTGGATATTATTAAGGGTTCTTGGTTGCAGGAAATGTGATATTGGATATTTCTACATTTGAATTGAATTGAATTTTGGCCATTAGAATCAGATTGGATTAGGATATTATTAACATCATAATTAATACATTAAATAGAAAATGACCAAAATGTTGTATATTATTAATAAAATAAATTAAAAATGAATTTGAAATTGTATATCATGAATAAATGACTTTGAAATAATTTTTATGTGAGTGAGAAGTCTGGGATGATAACGAGACCTATGACTGTTTAGTAAATACCTAACATTCACACAAACATAATAACTAATAGATCCATACTAATATTAATGGATTGTTAGATCCAATTGGGGCGCAGAATTATACATGGATTGATTTCGGTCACCTTAAGGCTGTGTTTGATATTATAAAAATGATGACCACATGGTATCATAGACTTCCTTTTTTTTTATTTTTTCTTTCAATCAAGCCAAATACAGCCTCAGTGTCAATCGGGTTATAACTAACCAAATTTAGGGTCATACCTAATTATGGATGGATGGAAGGACAAATACAATGTCAATTTTTGAAAGCATGGGCAGGGGACCATTTTGCACCTCAAAGGCTCTACTGGAATTGCACTAAACAATTATGCTTGGGGTCCAAAATTTGTACTTGTACACCCAAAGCATGGTTCCAAGTATTTATAATTTCGAGAGTTTCATTCATTTGAAGTCTTTTTTTTTTTTCTTTCGTTTTCTTTTTGGTCTAATATTTTATTAATAGTGGGTATGTCAAATCATGTTTTAACAATAAAGTATATAAAAACACATTTGATTCTTGAGAATAGGGATCTAAAATTGGATCATTCCTATTTCAATTGTGTGGTTGTACATCCTAAATCCCATTTTTGCTGGAATAATAATATTCTTTCATTTGAGGAAATGGACAAGCACTCCCCTTCCAACTTATTCTGATTCTGATTCTTATCTGACCCAAATATACATAAATCATTTCAATTCCGATTCCCAATAAAGTATATAAGCACCGTGTATACCGTATAGAGATTTACGTTTGAATCACACAAGTTCTTAACTTTTTAATCCAAAAAAACCAGGGTAAAGCCATCCGATGTTCTTAACTCTCTCTCTCTCTTTTTCTTGTTGGCTTTCACCGTGCTCCTTCTTCTTCTTGTTAAAGCCATCCGAAGTTCCGAACGCCGGTGAAGCTCTTCGTCTTGCAATCACCGCCCCACACCACTGCAATTCAACTTTCGTGATTTCAATGTTAGCTAGCGAGGATGTTTTTGCGAATGACTCAATCGAGCTGCTGCGCCAGAGCGGGATGGATTTCAAGAAGAACAACGAGAAGGGTATCGACGCGCATCGGTTCGGAGAGCTCCTCATGTCCTCTGGAATTGTGTTGAACGACAGCGTGCTTTGGATGACCTTTAACAGTGGATACGATTTTAGCTACTTGCTTAAGCTCCTGACGTGCCAGAACTTGCCGGATACGTAGGCTGGGTTTTTCATCAATGCCACCGCCGCTGCAATTCCTAGCAGCGGCGGCTAAGTCTTTGGCCATTCTCTCCGTCTCCCCTCTTTCTTTCTTTCAGCCTACACCTCTCTTCGTTTCCTAAGGGGGTCGCGTAGCGGCGATCTTTTCTTTATTTTTCAACCGTCGATCCGTGTTCAACCCGCGTTCGTCAAGACTCAGGACTGAGCAAGGTAGAGACAGAGTGCTCTGTGCTGATATATTTTATTTTCAACTTTTTGTATACAAAAAACTCGTCAACCTTCCGCCATTGAAGCGTTTCTCTGTTCCGATCGCGTGTTTTATCATTAGATTTGAAGCTTAGACCTTCGGTTCAAGCCGATTTCCCGCTCCGGATAGGAGAAAATCGTTTTAAACAGTTGGACTTTTATCGAGATATTATTGGTTTCTAACTTTCGATTGAGCCTCGTGGTTTGATTCGTTTAAAATTATCGGACTGGTTCCTGTTATGATTCCTGTTCGAGTTTTATGGTAAAGAGAGATCTGAGGACCTTGCTTGAATAAAAGAGGAAGAGATCGCCTTGTGGAGGCGATTGGGGGATTCAATTTTTAATTTTCCAAGGAGCGGCTTCTGTACACTTGTTGATCAATTCATCGGTTGTTTTTAATGTCTGCCTCAAACGTCTGGTTGTGAAGTAATATGGAACTGATTGCAAGATACAAAAATGACGTTTTATATTGCTCGCGAGGCTTCCGAGGTTCATTTCTTCTCCCTTTCTTTCCTTTTCTCTTCATCCTTTTCAATTCTTCCAAAATTTTCTCCGCTCTTTGCTTTCTTCTATTTCCGCTTCACTTTATTTCTGCTACGTTATTCCGTGCCTTTTGATGATAACTTGTTATTTGATGATAATATGGAATTTGATGAAGGAAGATTTGGCCCGACCTCGCAAATTACGACACGTGGCAAAAAAGGCAAGCAGCTCAGAACTCAAGACAGCATACTGAGGGTACAAATGCCAAAGGGAAGGGACCAGTAGGCTCGAGTTCCCTACTTAGAGCTCGGACTCCCTAGCAAGAGGCCCGAGCTCCCTACTTAGAGCTCGAACTCCCTAGCAAGAGGCCCGAGCTCCCTACTTAG